AACCGCCACCAACAACTCAGCTCTGCGTAATGAAACTGATATTTGTTTCCTTGAATTTTTTTTTTTTTTGTCTCCGCGTGTGCACACCTTGGTAAACGAGATCTCGTCCGAGGCATAAAGCTTTCTTTTGTGACCGACACAATTTCTGCTTTTCCCTGCGTGCTCTCACGTGGAATCGCCTTTTTTTTTTTTCTTTGCGTGTGTGCACAGGAAAACGTTTATCCGCTCGTCCTCCTCCAGCGAGCCAGCCTGGTTCAGGCTGCTGGCTGGTATGTGGAATTAGTCTCTTGTTGTCCTCATCAGCACTGACACAAGCGCTCGCTCACAACGACGCCAGCGCTTTGTGAAGTGAAGGACTTCCTTGTTCCAGTGGGCAGAGTTTTGTAGTTTTTCTCTGTGGCTCTGGCCGTCCTGACCTGCGGTCAGTGCCGGGCTGGCCTCCTCCTGCGGAAGGATGCTGCGGCCACACGCCGTCCACCTTTGCTCTCTAAATGTGACCCCCCCCACCCCCCCGAACCGCTGTTTTCACACATAATTGAGAAAAGGGAGTGTGTTTTTCCATTTTCCTCATCACGACTGGCCGTGTCCCTCTGTGCTCCGTTTTCCCCTCCTAGCCCCGGAAGTCGGAGCAAAAATCTGAAGAGCCGCTGACGGCCGAGGAGGTGCTTATCGGCGTGTCGTGAGAAAACATTTCTCATAGCTTAATTCAGAGACACGTCTGAACGTTAGCCGTGTCAGAGCGGGGCTTTGGGGGCTGGCGGGGGTCCTCCTACTGTACCGCCTCGGCCCCCTCTGTCTGCAGCACCCTGTGTGTCCAGCCATTAGAGCTTTGAAGTCAGCGGTGGCTGTAATATAAATCTATTAGACTTAAAGCTGCTATAAATAATTTACCTGGACATTGATTAGCTGTCTTGCTGCCTAACATGTCACGTTAGGCTCTGAATATGACTGCTAGTATTATTAGAATGAGACTCTAAAAGCCTTTGATTCTCCCAGCTTTATCTCTCCAGTTTTTTGTCGATGCTATGAAATTACATTTATTATTATTGTTATATTCACCCCTTTTTTTTGCATATTTGGGGGCTTATAACAAGGATTTGACATTTTTTTGTCATTTAAACGAAGCTTTACACCATAAATATTTCTTGAGTGTTTCTTTTTTTTTTTTCTTCTTGAATTGGCACCTCCCCTAATCCATCTGGACAACTTAACTTGTTTGTGTTATTTTTGTGTTTGGATGACTTGAGAAGGGTAAGGGATCCAGCGTGAGGTCATTACCGTAGTTTGTCTGACCTCTGGGAGTCATAAGCAGTAAGAATTTGTTTTTCCTAACACCTAAGTCCAAGGAGGCTGACAATTTAGTATCATTTAGCAATTTGACGTGAGGCTGTGCCGGGGGCTTTAAAAGCCCTGCTCGGCCTGGTCTCCTGCCCTCCTCTCCCTGATGTGGCCCTCCTCTCAGACCCCTCACAAAGGCCTCCTAGGACACTGGGTGCAGGTTGAATTGGGGAAGTGGTCGGTTGGTTTTCCAGCCCCTCTATTCCCCCTTTGCGCTCTCCATCTCCCTTCCTCTCTGCTGCCGTCTTTGTTTCCTGCCGCTGCTGAGACGGGGCTCGTGGAGGGGAAAAAAAGAAGAAGAAAAAAGGTGGCGGGTGGACTGGGCGGCTGTGGGCTAACGCTGCGTCTCAACAGGTCTGCTGATGCGGATGCTGAGGGAGGGAGAGCGGGGTCCGGCCGTCCGGCTCTCCCGCTGCAGGGCCGTAAATCCACCGGCTTTATTTACTGCCTCTCGGACTTATGAATGTTAAGATATTTGACGCCACCCCTAGCCCCATAATTCTCCAGGCCTGGAGACTTTTGGCGGAGGTTTTGAGTTTCGAGGTGTAATTACGAGCAGTTTAGAAACGGGTAAGAGTAGAGGTGGGGCAAGTGGAGGATGAAAACGCAACGCTGAACATCCACCTCAGTTTTAAGAGGAGGAGGGGGGGAAACAAAACAAAGAGTCTCCCAGAAGCTGCAATGATTTTCCTACAAGATGGTGAACAGGCTTTGTGCAGAAACAATGGCTTTTCTCCCCCTTTTTCCCTCTTTGTTTCAGTTTTGTTGTTGCACCGGGGCTGTTGGTGCTGCTGCAATTTCACCTTTCCGACAACAAAACCCACCCCGGCACAGGCCGGCATCTCCCAACATTTTTATTTCCCCTTTTATTTTTCAGCGAGACATAATGAAGGATTTTCCATAGAAATGTTTGTGCTGGGATTATTGCGGATGTGAATGCAGCAGCACCTCCTTTGTGCTCACGTGCTATCTGCTGTGAATGACACGGACCATATCTTTCCTAAACATGTCAGCAGCATAAGCATAACAATGGTATATCATATGGATTATATGTGTTGGGCTGCTGTAAATGGAATTTAGGCCGTCACAAGAGGAAAAGACGGTTCAATGCGGATTTAGGGGACAGGGCCCACACCTTATCAAATTGGCTTTACATGTTAATCGGGCCTAATTGGTGTCCGCGGGGGGTTCTGTGGCACGACGTGGCCACATTCTCTCCCTCAAGCTGCAAAATGCACTCTGGATTTAGTCGGAAGGTTGCGCTCCTTTTGTCTTGCAAATCACTTTTTGTTTACAAAGTATGGCGGAAGCGGCTCCCGCTCTGTCCCCCCCCCCCCCCCCACCGGTCCCTCTCTGCCTCCCTCTCTGCTGCTCCTCTCATCCTATGTGACGAGAGGGGGAAAGGAAAAGGTCCTTATTTTTTTTTTTTTCTTCGACTCAATAAACATCCATAAAAAGTACAATCTGCTTTGGATTTGAGGAGTTAAGTTTGAGAGAGAGAGAGGGAGGGAGAGAGAGGAGGGGCGGGAGGGGGGGTGGGAAGCAAAGTTTGGCACTATTAAACTGAAATTGGGGTCTGCTAGACATTAGCGGTGCACAGCACATTCTCTGAGCTTAATTAGTCCGAACTGTAATTGTTCATGGTCTGCCAATAGGAGTAATGCTCAGGAAAAGTGGAGTTGCACTAAACCGGCCCAGGGTTTTTAAAACAATAAATCACTTGCATATTTGCGCCGTGATTCAGATGGAGGCTCGACCTCTCCCATCTCGACATGTGGTAAATTGTAAAGTCAATGAATCGCAGATGTAGGGGTGGGGGGGGGTGCTGAGGACCACGAAAGAGAGGAGACAGAGGCAGTACAGTAAGGTTTTGTTAGCGCCTGGTGAATGAATGGAAAAGATCTGTGCAGTAAATATTTACCAGGGGGGGATGTAGATACACGTGTGTGTGTGTGTGTGCGTGTGGATTTACACACAAACGAGTGTAAGTGCTGATGTGCTTAGTTGTCTAATGCTGCAGATGTTTACAGGCCTAATGTTGTCAGAGCTCATGTGGTCGTCAATCTGTCCCTCTGCCTTAAACAGCAGAGAAGGAGAGAGGCGGTTTATGGGGTGTGTTTCTAATCAGATTTTAAACTAGTGTGAGGGGAGTAGTAGTTCCCTGGTGGCAGGGGGAGCTGGGTTTGGGTGTAGCAGCTGCACTCGGGTCTGGTTTGGGGCTGAACCCCCTTTTTGTTTTTTTTTCTCCTTCCCTTTTCTTCTCCTCCTTTTTTACATTAATGAAATCACTGCCTTCAGAAAAATCGGAGGCCCTGATTTTGTCCGCGGCGTGACGGCTGATTTATTTTTCGATAACCCCAATGAGCCGCTGAATAAATGAGTCCTGTATTCCGTGCTCGTTTCTGTCAGTTACCCACGACGCTTTGCCTTTCTGTGTTCGTGCAAAGAGGGAAAAAAGGGCATTAGTTAAGCAGCTGTGCACCGGGGTCCTCTCGCCCCAGCCCCCCAGAACGAGTGTAACCCTCTTCCTTTTCCCACTTCGCCCCTCCCTCCTCCTCCTCCTCCTCCTCCTCCTGTGCATTTCTATAGAGCTAAACACAAAGATAGTACTGTACACCTGGAATGCAACTTGTGTCATCTGTTAAATATAGACGCGCCTCTCTTCTGGCCCACAGAGCTCCCAGCTCCCTCAAACGTGGAAACTAGATTATTATTTTTAAGCCTCGGTTTGCGTTTCTGGGAGCAGGGAGCCGCAGAGCCTGTTCCCTCTGCTGTTAGTCCTGGGTGGACGGCACCTCCTGCCTTTCCTGGATACGCCGGTCAGATCTGTGATAATTAAAGCAAATTGCTTGTTGTTTTGTTTGCCGGCCCACGTCTGATCTGGAGTCTCATTCTTAAGTTTCTACATTTCATAGATTTTATTCTGAGACTTTTTTAACAGGAATGTTTGTCTGAAGCCACCAAGTGTCCCTCTCACAAATGTAGGTGTTGGGCACATTTCCAAAAGACAGCAACACCAATCTGAGCCAAACTTTTTGGAAGTTTGCGTGTGCTGTTTTTGGAGCGCACAAAGTGGCAGCTTCAGAAGCACCCAGGCACCAAGGCCAACCGTGCTGGAAAAGAGGCAAACCCAACCATTTTCACTTTGTCTGTTTGTTAAAACATGCAAACTGGTCTGCAGGATTTTTGTTTTGTGTTAGTAGCTGGGATTAGTCGTGAGCGAGCGTTTGCTAGCTTTGGGGTCATTTAGAAAAAGGGTTTTTCATCCCTGGAGATACTCTAACTTTTTTATGTTTTTGCAAAACATCCAAAACTTTCCAATTCGTCTTTGGATTTTGCTTTGAAATGTGCGTTTGAAAAAAAAAAATCAGTGATGGAAATATGACTGATTTTAAGCGTTAGTGGGTAAACTAATGATGAATTCAACATTATTCCAGAGCTAATTTGTTAATGCTGGGAACCCAAATCCAGCAGATAAGGGGCCTCGTCCTTTGGCCTTGTTGTTTATTTCTACATTCATAAACGGTGGCTGATAAAAACTGTAGATGCGTTGACCATCCTCCATCTTGCTGGACGATCAATCCATTCAGATTTTCGGCTGGACAACCTGCCCATACTGGTTGAAAACGGTGATAAGATGATTTGAAGTGCTTGCTGAAGATTTGAGATTTTATTGGCAGTATAACTGTGCTGCATCAGCTGAAAGATAAAGTTAATGACTATTGATCCCATCTCTTAGATAAAAAGGTTACGGGTAGGTTTTGGATTAGCTAGTTTCCAGAGATTATTCCCCACAATCTGTATTTTCCACGATGGGTCACAATTACAAAACTGATAGATGTTTTTTTTTTAAATAGTTTTTTTTATCCCCATTTCACTTCAGGAGGAATAAAATCCAGATATGGGCTCAGGCATCAGGCTGGGACTGCTTTTGGTGTGGGGTTCCTTTGCTGGCCTGGACGTACACGTTTCTGAAAGTTCATTCATAATCGGCTCGGAGCAGCAGCAGCCAAATGAGTTCAGCAGCGGCAGAGTGGGAGGGGGCAGAGAAAAGCGGGAAATGTGTGCGAGCGGAGGGGCGACGGCGGGGGGGCCTGGGGGTCGGGGCGCACAAAAGCAGTCTGAATAGAGCGCATAATTGCTGTTAATGCCAGGGCAATGAGAGCAGCGACAGTTCCTGGTTAGATGTCCAAACAATAGTGCCCCTGGGCTTCACATTTATCTTCTCGTGGAAGGAAGGAGGAAAAAAAAGAAAAGAAAAAGGGGACTGAGGCGAGCACAGATTTGGAACTGGAGTTTCACTCTTGCTTGATGACCGAGCATGTGTTCCTTTCCCTGGCTTCCA